TTAATCAATTTCTATTGCATCATTATTTTGCATTTCTTCATAGCTATCTACATCTATAATATTTTCATCATAATAATTCAGTTCGACTTCTTCATCTGGATCATTATCCAGCTCACCATCGCCTAGCTCATTATCGTCAAGCTCATCATCGTCTAGCTCATCGTCGTCTAGCTTACCATCGTACAGATCACTGTCATCCAGCTCACCGTCATCCAGATCACCATTGTCCAGCTCACCATCGTCCAGCTCACTATCATCATAATTTGGTTCTTTATCTGAAATTATGTCTTGGATTGGCAATTCGTCCAAGCGGTTTGCGACAATAGCTTGGAGGCGGTGCGACATTTTATCATCTTCACTACTGTTAGGATCAAGTGTGAGCCCGGCTGCTTCGAAAGATTTAACTAAAATATTTGGGCTGATTTCTTTCCATGTCTTAGACACCCATTCAAAGATAAGTTCATAGGATGCTTTTTTTTGATTTCCTTTCTTAGTATATATTTTTTTTCCTTTATCCATCCATTCTTCCCATCTTTTCCTCATTTCACTTTTAAAAGGCTTGTTTACAGAGATATCTGGTGGCTGCAAAACACTAGTGGTTCCTCCGGGTATTTCTAACACGTCCAAGCCTTCTTTATTAAATGCTCTAATTACATCATCACGATTATGGCTATGATGTGCATCAACAAAAATAATGCCTTTGCTTTTGAAAAATCCATTCGGCCTGGCTCTAATGACTCGTGGAATATATGTGGAAATCATTAAATCTCTAGTCATAGTTGCAGAAGGTGCAGGTGCTACCACAATATCTCGCGGGAATCTGCCTTTTGGTTTTTTTTTCAATTTAAAGATTACTGTTGGTGTGAGTTTTTCGCCAGCTGCCGTATAACCCAAAACTACTGTAAATCGTAGTTTTTTATTGCCTGTGGTTTTAACTAGCACCTCATGAGAACCTTTGAAATCGATTGTCAAATCCTGTGGCATATCAAACTACATAGGCGTTTCATCAAAAGATAAGATATATTTTTTTTCAATGGTATGCGTTTTTTCACGCGAAGTTTTAAAAAAATTTTTAATGATCAAAGACATGTCCTCAGAGACTTTTGTGCTATTTGCGTTCCGACATGCTTTACTAATTCATGTCATTGTTTGAAACGTTCGGCCCAACCACGCAAAAACTTCATACCCCTAATACTCATGGTTTCACCTAAATTTTTGGCTTTTTTTATAATCATTGATGTTGTCACTGTGCCTTTTTCTTCCCTTCTTGTTTTAATAAACTCTAACAGCTCTTTTTCCAACATAGGGTGTGCTGCTTTTTGACCACGACCTTCAAGCACCCGCACTTGTTCTATATTAAAATTTCTGTTTTTTCTAATTTTTTTAAACTCTTTTTTCTGCTTGCGCCACTCTTGAACACGTCTATGGTCAACATTATAATACAAAGAAGCTTTACGATTGGAGGTATTTTCTGCGTACGAGATTACTTCAAGCTTGAATGCGATAGTAAACTTCATTTCGGGTTCATATTCACTTGCAAACGGAATAAACAACTTGTGCACCGAAGCTAATAAGGATAATGTTGTATTTTATATTGAATACTCATGTAATACAAAAAAAAATAATAATAATACATACCACACCATAAGTTACTTCATGATTTCTTAAGGCCGATGCATCATTTGGTTCAATTTTTGATGACTTAGTTAAGAAGTCATTAAATGGATCCTTAGATTTGCTCATAATATGGTAAGTTACCCCATTTTTTCTTGGTAAAGGTGTATTATCAGCAATAATGATAATATGGCATTATTATAAGTAAATTATTACAATAAAAAATAGTCTTATTAAAAAAAATATAGTTCTACGAAGTTGATTCTTTAAAAAAAAAAAGCTTCAGGAATTTGAGTTAAATACAATTTCAAGTGAACTAAGCAAGCATGTAGTGTTACATAGTAAGTGTTGGATTACGCCAAGAAAAACTGAAAATTATGATTTTAGAAATTTCACAAAAGACACCGCTATCATTAACTAATTCAGGCTAAAATTTCCAAAATCGTTTTTTTTTGGGGTTCCCATACATAGCGATCTTAAGATCAAGGAATAACTGCGTCGAATGAATCAGTAGTGCAATGCTCTGAAAAGTAAAAATAGTACGTTGGTGCTTGACTCTAATAATATATATATCGATATTTTTTTTTTTAAATAAAAGTTGCCATCATACTTTATGATTTATAATCATTGTGAACCCAAGCAAATCGACCTTTCGAGAAAGAGTGCAAATGCCTAAAATTTAAGCGAAATTCCCTTATTTAAATAA